TTTACAAGAATCCAAGGTGTTGTCATACATTTCTCGTGTTTATGTGTTCAGCTATGTGCGCTGGTACCAGGCGTCACACACAGGACAGAGTCAATAAGAGGAGTCGGACAAACTTTGGAAACTTTAAAAGCTTAAACCTCCGTTAATACAGAACTTTGAGGTTCCGAATGGTTTCATTGGTTTCTTCGTGGAATTTTCTTCTTGAAGCTCCCCTTAAAATTTCAAATGTGACGAAATAAACATCAAAATTTGCAGTTTTGGTCAAAATTTCATGTCCGACCTCTCTAATTGACTCGATCCACTGTGCGTCAGTCGTGAACAGCTACCACATACTGAAATCTTCGCATTGGTCGTCTCAATCTCGTGCTGCGACCAATCAAATAATGATTTTGATCGTCCAAAGTTTAATCCTTGAGAGGGAGAATCAATGGAGATGTTGCATGTGTGAGGGATTCGCGATTTGACTGGTATTTCTTTTGTAAAAGTTTGCGAGAAACACGATGGTGCCTCTGGTTTTCTCTGAAATCATCTCCCAAGCTCAAAAAAAGCTCTCAAAGTGAAGCCAAAATGGAGGGGATATCCCACCTTACCCTGAGAGTCCACCTCTACATCAAAACTCTCCATGCAAAGATAGGGAGAAAATACATTGACACGGCTGCCACTTCATTTGGGGACTCCAAAACTGAAAACACGGCAACCCTGCTAGTGTATTTGCTCCCTATCTTTGCATGGAGAGTTTGACTTGATGTAGAGGTGGACTCTCCAGGATATCGTGGGATATATCCCCTCCATTTTGGCCTCACTTTGAGAGCTTTTTTTTGAGCTTGGGAGATGGTTTCAGAGAAAACCAGTGGCACCATCGTGTTTCTCGCGAACTTTTACATAAGAGTTAACACTCAAATCGCAAATCCCTCACACATGCAACATCTCCATTCATTAAACTCAGATCATCATTTTCTAGAATAAAAAGTAAATCTGTTCCAAGGTTGAGAAATCGACTTAAGCATTAAGGAATGTCATTTTCTATAGAGGAACACCACCAGAGGAGAAATAAATGAAATTCTCGTGACTGACTCTCAACTCCAGTTCCTCAGGAAAAATAAACTAGGGTTGACATTTTGCAACATTGAAATGTGGTCATATTTTTTGGTCTGGGAAACGCTGAAATGGTCCGTCTTTGTGAACACTCGTTCGTTACCACTCTACTTCTAAAAGAGAGAAAGTCCATTTCCACAACGCACGCTTTTTCAGAAATAACTCGTTCAAACTGGAGTTGGGGGAAAAAAACGCAGCACTGCTGAAAAGCTGTTGTCTGAGGAGATGACGTTATTCAGCTTTCTGAATAATGATGGATGGATCGGTTCAATCTAGCAAACCGAGAAAAAAAGGCGGGATTACGAAGAACACAGAATCGTCACTAAATGTTACCAAGGAATTCTTAGTAACGAAGCTCACGCATCAGCGAGTATTCGCAATTACAGTACTCCAATCTGCGCAAAATTTTGCGAAAATCACGACTTTGTCACGGGTTTTCTCCGTAACGAACTGCCAAACTCAAAAAATCTCTCAAAATTCAGGCCACAGTAAACGCTATGGAGGACGTATCCGTTATGAAGAGATTTTGACTATACAGGGTGATCCCTTAGTCCCGCGCCACCACCGCTGGCATCAAACCTGTGACTGTTGCAAAAATCGAGACAGAGACTTGAAATTTTGTGAGGGATCCTATAGGTAATAAGGAATTCATTTTGTGAACATACAATATTAAATCCTAGGTCATAAGGAATTAATTTTGGGAACCTTCAAAATTTTAAAAGGACCACCCTGAAAAGGGGCAAGAACCCTGGGGTCTATATCGGTGGTTTGGGACTTTCAGATCACCCTGTATACTCATTCGTACTCTGCATGCGTAGGTGAAGTGCTGAGCGAATATATTTTTAGCCGGGGGGTTTTCCATGTCTTCAATTACGGAGTATCCATAGAAAATGCAAAATGGTAAACCTGCCAGTGTGCGAGGGCTGTTCTAAAGGTAAGTTTCTCATTATAATTTCTCCAAAGGGTCACAGCTTTTTGAAGCACTCTTTTCGAAAATAATGTATTTTGTGTTGAAAGTATCATTATTTTTGACTTCCTCAATACTTCTGAGCATATTTTTAATATTTCAATTTTAATTTTTATATTTAACTAGGTGTCTCAGCCCCCCGGCCGCTACGTGGCTCAACCTTTTTGGGCGCCGCGCGCCCCCAAAAGCCGCTTCGCAGTTAGCGAATCGTCGAAATCGCTGGACGCGTTGAGGGAGGGGAGTAAGACGGTCGATGGGTAGGAGTGAGGAAGGGGAGTTCAAAGGTCAGAGTTTAATATTTCCACATCGACATTTTGACGGGAGCGTTTTGATATAATGTGACCCAGGCAAATCATTATTGGCACGGGCACAACCATGCTCCAGGCTTTTCCAGGGATTTCAAATTTTCAGGTATTAAGGATTTCAAAACTTTCTTCGTATAAAAAAGAAAAACTAAGTAAGAGAAACACAGAGAAAAACGGTTTGGCGTCCTGACAACTAACACCCTTTGATGGCGTCATTGCGTCGATTACGTCACTTGGGTGCATAGTGTCACCCATTTACGGAGGTTTTATTTATTTCTGCGTACTCACACTGCAATTTTCTGACGCAACGAGTGAACCATGAACATGTGTCCAGCTGATGCCGTAACAGGAGATACCAATTATAACGTGATCTAGTTGCAAACTTCCCCTACTTATGATACACTGAAAAACAGAGTTACGGCTGTACAGGGTGTCCCAAAATTCCCTTCCACTCCCTTTAAAATTTTACCTGATTAATATTTTGAAACGAGACTTTAAGGATATTTATAGATCAATGTTACCTAGCTACTTTTCGGGCCCCCAATATTTTCGCCCCCCCCCCATGGGGAGGAAGCTATGGACCCCAACTTTTTTTTCAAATGGTAACACCTCCCTCCCTTTATGTCACATCAATCGAAAGGGGGTCGAAAAAGACAATTTTTGGCGCTATTCGCGAGTGAAAATCTTGATTTTTGACAAAATGGCGGCCGGTCAAAGTTCAAAATAACGGAAATTTGACAATTTCTTTTTTGTTGACGGATTAAGACGAAAGCTGGTATCTGCGGGTTTTGGGGATTTAGGTACAGCTTTTGCAATTCCGAAGAAAAAATTAGGAGGAGTCACATATTTAAAAGCACACGCAAAAAAAGTTTAGCGAGACTTTTAGTTGACATGGCTATATTCTTAAGTCTGTATCTGTTGTTCGCTACTACGTAGTAAAAAAGAATCAGTCTGACGTCAGATTGACTCACTTTTACTAGGGATAAGAAAAAAATGTGTCACGAATCAACGCTCTGAGGAAAGGATTGCAAGCTCGTTTGATGGACCCGTTGTTAGTTCCGTGTGCAACATACTCACAACAATAGATCCACGTCATTATCCCATTATCCCATGTTCCAATTCCTAATGCCCCCCCCCCCCCCTACTGACGTGCGAAGAAAAAACGCCGTATGAACCTTTAGCTGTTGCCAAAATTCCTCCGATAAAATACGAAATTTCAACAACACTGTTGGATACTTTTCCTCCAATTTTTCAGAAAATTTCACTCGCACTGCTGTGATTTAAAATATGTGAAAATATCAAGGAAACGCATTCATATCATTCCTCTTAAGTTAGTGTTTTATTAGGAAAAATTCGGCAATTCCTGAAGGGTTAGTTTTTCCTTAGTGCGGCAGCATAGTGTGATACCTACTGCCGTGCTAAGAAAAAACGACGTATGAACCTTTAGCTGTTGCCAAAATTCCTCCGATAAAAATACGAAATTTCATCAACACTGTTGGATACTTTTCTTCCAAATTTTCAAAAAACTTTACTCGCAATTTGTTTTAAAATATGAGCAAATTTCAAGGAAACATATTCATAGACTTTTCCTTAAGTTATAGTGTTTTACAAGAGAAAATTCAGCAACTTCTCAAGGCTTAATTTTTCCTCAGCACGGCATCATAGAAATACCTACTGCCGTGTAAGTAGAAACGACGTGTGAGCCTTCAGTCGTTGCCAAGTTTCCTCCGATACACCTCGAATTCACTGTGAAAATTGTAAATATTTCCCCCGAAATTTTAAGACCATTTTGTACACAATTTAATCTAAAATATCTGAAAATTTCAAGGAAGAATATGCATGAATGCTCTCGAAAATACGTGTTTTATCAAGGGAAATTTGGCAACTCTCGAATGTTCACACGGCGCTCTTTTATTACACGGCAGTATTTTCCTTGAATTTTTCTATTTATTTAAATTTTGACGGATACAAATCGAATGTAACCATCTCTATCGTAAAATGAGCCCTGTTACGCATGTATTCTTATGAGTCTCTGGGCTCGTCACAGGATGGATAAAGTTCCTTTTCATTTTGTGAGTGTCCAATTGAAAGAAAGCACTGCCGTGCTAAGGAAGAACGTCGAGAGTTGCCGAATTTCCTTCAATGAAATGTTTATTTTTGAGGAAAATTATGAATATTTTTCCTTGAAGCTTTCAGAAGTTTTAGATCAAATTACAAACAAAATTATCTGAGAAATTGGTAGACAAATATTCAAAAATTTTCCCGAAAATTAGCGATTTGCCAGGGGAAATTTGGCAACGCCTGAAGGCTCATACGGCGTTTTTCCTTAGCACGACCGAGCAGTTCACTGTCATCACGCATCAACCCCGTAATCCTATCATAATACCTATTTTCCTTGAATTTGTCTAATTAAACTTTAAATTTGAACGGGTTTAAATCAAAAGGAGCTATATCCGTTGTGGAATGAGCCCTATTATGCATGCATTCACATGAATCTCAGGGCTTATGTCAGGATGGATAAAGTTCCTTTTCATTCGTATGCGTCCAATGGAAAGAAAGTTCACTGTCATGACACCTCATCTCCGCAATCCAGTGTCGACTTGCGTTTTAAAATCCGACATTGGTTGATGGCATTTCAGTCGTTGATCGGATTTTGCCGTGCTTCGGAGGTTGTGGTCCAGAGGGATTGAGATGACGAGGCCGTCCCCAGGAATTTTCATACTAACAGCGGCATTGTTATCCCTCGCACAGGGTAAGTGTCAGAATATTGATAAATGCAATATCGTCATTTTTTTTGGCACTCCTCAGCGTGGAAAAATTAACTTCGAATGTCATTCTCTATTTTTTTTTTTGTTGGCCAACGCACAGTGGATCGAGTCAATATGAAAGGTCGGACAAAATTTGGAAACTTGAAACGCTTATAACTCCGTTCATACAAAATTTTGGGGTTCTGAAAGTGGGCTCATTCGTTTTCTTGTGAAATTAACTTCTACGAACACCCCTTGAAATGTAAAATGTGACGAAATAAACATCAAAATTTGCAGTTTTAGTCCAAAATTTCATGTCAGATATATCCAATTGACTCGACAGAATACTAATAAATGCAATATTATCATTTTTTTGACATTTCTCAGCGTGGAAAAATTAACTTCGAATGCCATTCGCTATTTTTTTTTATTTTATTTTATTTTATTTTTTTTTTTTTTTTTTGCCGACGCACAGTTGATCGAGTCCTTATGAGAGGTCGGACAAAATTTTGAGGTTCTGAAAGTGGGTTCATTCGTTTTCTCGTGAAATTAACTTCTACGAACACCCCTTGCAATTTAAAATGTGACGAAATAAACATCACAATTTGCAGTTTTAGTCCAAAATTTCATGTCAGATCTATCCAACTGACTGGATCCACTGTGCGACGTTTTCTAGGATTAACTGTGCCTAAATTTAAAAATTCCGACTTTTTACACGTCTGGAGCTAACGCATGTCTGTCCATCAGCAGCCTGCTTGTCGAAACTTTAACTTTAACTTTAACTTTAACTATGTCTAGCATATCGGCAGATAAGACAAGACATAGCCCTTTCTGGGCGTGTAATATATCTATCGATTTTCAATTCGTGTAGTGGCGACATAAATTACAACAATCAGGCCGCAGTTGACACAATTCTTATGTTGGCCTTTCATATACGGTATATTGAATGGTATACCTAATCAAAATTAGTTTAACTAAATTTTATTGTGCATACAAAAACTAATACTTGGATTGCGTTTTTTAAAGTGGAACCAAGACCATTCCAATGTTGCTAAGATTGTGCAACTTGTTTTGCCTTGCGATTATAATCTGACCATCTGAACGAGTTTTATGTTTACTCCCAATAAACTGTTCAAGAAGAAAATTACCTTTGAAAATTAAATTTGTTTCATGACCAGGGGGCTACGCTCCCTGGTCGCGTCCCGATCGTCGAAATCGAAATCTTTTATAAATAAAATTAATTAATAAATTTACTTGGTTGGTTACTATCCCTTTTTCTGTAGTTTTTAATACTTTAGCGTTTTGGGTTATAAATATTATTTTACTCATTAAGTTTAAGTTTTTTATAAATCACATATATGTTAATATTTGGTTAGTAATTTTATTGGGTTTGTTTATTTTATATTCTCTAATACAGTGTATTGTGATCGTTGTAATAAAGATTATTATTGGTGGAACTAATTTTTCTGTAATAGACAGATAAATCACATTTTTATTTAACTCTATAATCGTCGAAATCGCCCGTTGGCATTTAATGATCAAGTAATTTTAATTGAATAACAAAACGATGTTTCAAAGAAAAATTTTCCGCCAAAAAATATTCTTAATGACTTTCTTCTTACTCTGAATTTTGATTCCATTTTTGTAAGTTGATATTGACGAGGCCACATATAGCTGTCCATGACTAAACACTGCCGTGCTAAGGAAAAACGCCGTACGAACATTCGATAGTTGCCAAATTTCCCGTCATAAAACATGCAATTTTGACAACATTCATGCATATTTTTCCTTGAAATTTTCAGATTTTTTAGATCAATTTGCGTACGAAATCGTCTGAAATTTTTGTATAAAAATATTCACAATCTTTCCTGTAAATTTGGTTTTTATAGAAGGAAATTTAGCAACGTCTGAAGGCTCATACGGCGTTCTTCCTTAGCACGGCGGAACAAAGGCCCTACCCCTGAAAATGAAGACCCACTCTACTAAAACTCTGACCTTTGAACTCCCCTTCCTCACTCCTTCCCATCGATCTTTTTACTTCCCTTCCTCACCTCGTCCACCAAGTGTCTTAAAATGATTTTATTAGAATAGAGAGGATTGCAGTGAGCTTATAGCAAATAATTTAGGTTGCACAATTCTAGCAACGTTGGAATGCTCTTGGTTCCATAATCCAGCCGCGACTAGGTTCAAAGAACTTTTTTTGCAATTATCAGAGATGGGTTATTACGGAAACAATACTATCTAATCCGCAATTTACATCCGCACAATGAGTCATTTTCAGGAAAATGAACACGGGTTAATGGTGCGCTCACTAGGGTGTGTTCAATCCCCATATCATAGAAAATGAAGCTATTGAACCGTAAATTCACGAGGAAAGTGCGTGTGAACTACTTACTCTACTTCTCTGCTAGGATGTATCGAGTTTCTCAGAATGATACCGGGAAAATGGAAAATCGCTTCTACTGGTACATTTTCAATGACACGTTATAAATACATTTTACAAATAGGCAAGAAACCCCAAGCCTAAAAGGCCATAGGCTCATACAGTGTTCGGAACTCATCTTTGAGTTTTAGGAGCCATGTGGCTCATCAAGCTTGATTTTAACTTTCCATTGCTATATTCAAAATTTTGAATAGCAAGTATGGCCAGATTCGAAACCAAAAAAACATGGGCGAAAACGGGGGGCGGTCCTCCCCACAATTCTGCTCGGCCCTTTCCAAAAATGTCAAGGACTCGAGCTACTAATAGTCTTGAGGTAAAGGGCATAGGGAATGTAATAAAACCCAACAATGTTATGTTTTGAATGAAATAAAACCCACAGTAAGATATAATATTTTTAAAACGAGTCAGCAAAATTTCTGTCATCTGTAATATTTAATTCCATTTAATTTGACATTGAGAATGGCTTAAAAATTGCTCTCGAGACGTTCCAATTTTCAAAAAATTTTGGGAGAGGCCCCTCAGACCCCCCTCTGCGCAGCTGGTGGGGTCCCCCAACCCCCCTTAGCCCAAGTTCTATATCCCCCTGTGCCCCCTCTACAGAAGATTCCTAGTTCTGCCCATGCAAAAAAACCTATACCAGAGGATACGAAGGCTTCTCCTGATTCGATTTTTTGCACGGATGAAAGTTCAAAAAGCTTGTTTTTTCCGACTTTTTTCTCAAACGTTGAGCCGGAACTTTCCATCGAATGTGGGGCACCCGCCTGTCTCACCTCACCGGCAGCCGGTAAACCATCGGTGACTTTTTCTCGACTCCTAGAATCGTTGCTGCATCGATGTAAAATCCGCCTAATTTGCATTGAGTATTTTCGGGTAAAAATGTGCCTTTTTCTGCACGTAGTTGCTACAGCCAATGGATCTCTGGCGACGCATCTTCTTTGAAACTCTGAATGAAAAATAATGGATGTCCAACGGATTTTGAGTGGAAGTTTTACAGACTCAGTAGACATTTGTTAGTAGTCTTCATTAGTTTAGTAGCTTGAAACAGAGGGGTCGTAACTGCATTATTTCCCTGGTAAAAATTGGTGATAGGAGCTGCGTTTCAAAATACCATAGGAGTTCTTATAGCCGACTAAAGAAGGCTATTGAAAATCATATAACTGACTGTAGAAAGCGGAGCAAATCATAAAGCCGGACTATACGAAGCTATAAGAAAGTATACAGTCGGGTTATAGTTCCTATCGCCGGGCTTTACACTTTATCGCCATTGGCTACACAAGGCTAAAAGAAATTGTGTAGAAATTCTGTGCCTTGGAAATCATTAAGTTTGATACGGAACTACCTTAATATTTATAGAACACACTTTATATTTTCCTTTAAAACATATTTCTTTTCTCATCAATTAAAATGAGAAGAGTCCATACAGTGTGTGCAAACGTTTCAAAACCATGAGTTGAAAAACGCTGACTCCGCGAGATTATATATTAAAGCCTAACACAAAGCGGAGCGGCGACGCACTGGCGCCTACAAACCTAACGGGGATACTTCACGCATTGCGCAATGCGTGAAGTATCCCTGTTAGGTTTGTAGGCGCTAATGCGTATTTCGCGCTCTCTGCCCGCCCACCGCGCCGCAGCGTGCCACGGCCTGAAGCAACTATTTCACACCAGAGGTATTGCACAGTATCATACGAAATTAAAGGCGCTCCAACATATTAAGAATGACAGGCATCCTTCAAAAGTACGGAGCTTTCCTCGCAAAATAAATCAAGATACTACGGCATAAAAAGAGAGCGGTAGTTAGTCCAAAAACTAACTAGGTCCTAGTATCCGTAATTAGTAACGATGCTAAACTTTATCGTCTGGCTGTTGCTTAGTCGCCATCGGCTATAAAAGGCTGTAAGAAATTGTACAGCCGGCTACAGAAGCTATTGGAAATCTTACAGCCGGCTTTAGGTCTATAGTATTTTGGAACACACATTCTACTGCCAATTTTTACCAGGGTTCCCTTTCGAGATACCTGAAGAAAGTTACCCATCGGCCCGACTGCTTATCATTTTTGATGTCTGAATTTCTTGTCATGGCTCCAATCACGCTTTTGATGAATTCGGATATTTATTCGTCATAAATATGATTAAATATGTAAAAATTGCCACTGATTACTTTTCGAGGTACCAGACATGTGTCATTACAGGACTGTATATACACCAAAACCACCAGACACCAGAACTCAGCTAGCCTTCCCAAAAATTGCATTTTTTTTTTTCATTGCAAACACGCTTCAAATTTTTTTATCAAGAATAGTCTCCGTTGACATCGGGATAACCCTCCTGAAAATAAGTATTTTATTTGCAAAAATTAGCAAAGTCTGATTATTTACACGGCACACAGTGGAACGAGTCTTAGGAATAAGTTGGACATACAATTTCTCAGAATAATTGTAAAATTGTCCGTTTATCTCGTCACAATTTTGATCCGTGTAGGGGGTGTTTTATATAGGAAAATTTACGAGGAAACTAATGAAACTACTTTTAAAACATTAAAATTTCATATTAATGAAGATATACGCTTTAAAAGCTTTTAAATTATGTCCGACCTCTCCCAATGACTCGATCCACTGTGTGGCGGTGGCGTTTTACTATGACACTATACCATTCGTACCATTCGTGTTACCAATGACGATTCTTGAAAGTTGGTGACACCGTTTTTGATCTATTTAAATGTGTGTAGAACAAGCGACCCTCGGTGAAGCAGCTGGTCTCACCAGTAATTGGACTGCATTTTGCAATTCGGACCTATAAATTCTGGCTCATCTGAAAAAAACATTTATGTGCATAGGGAAACTAATGGCACATACGTTGTTTTTAAACCGGGCCGGGATTTGTAGGTCCAAATTGCAAAATGCAGTCCAATTGATATTTGATGAATTGGACTGCATTTTACGATTTAGAACTATAAATTATGGCCCGGTTTAAAAACAATGTATGTGCCATTAGTTTCCCTATGCACGTAAGTGTTTTTCAGATGAGCCTGAATTTATAGTTCCGAATTGCAAAATGCAGTCTACTTCAATGGAAGAAAAACGGCGTTGCCAACTCGCGAAATCGCCACTGTAGGTATTTTAATATAGAAGAGAGCAGATAGTGCATTGAGTGCAATAATACAATTTTAAAGACAATGAGTCACTAGAGAAGGTACGAATTTAAGCAATCTGATACATGTTCTTTAACTGGAATTTCATCTAGAACGCGATTCGCGCAACGAAAATTACTGAAACCTACTCCTAACGAGGATGTTAACGCTTTTATTTCACACTGGTTACGAGGAATTTTAACTGCCCGCTCACAAAAAACTCAAAGCTCTACGTAAGTCAAATGGCGCACTACAACGGTTTCAGCAAGCTTCTCAATCGAGCAATGTTCATTTCCCACCACGTGTTGTTCAAAATATAAACAATTTGCTACAGCTGAGCCAAAGTGTCAAGATTGAGGCTGCCAGATTTTTATATCGCAGAGACCGTCGTGATAATGTTCAGCGCGCGATGTGAATCACGTAGAGCATTGAGTTTTCATGAGCAGATGGTTTGAATTCACGCATCAAGAATCATTAAATATCTTCGTAAGGAGTTGAATTTGGTAATTCTTGCTGTGTGCATCGTGTTCTACGTGAAATTCTGGTCAAGAAACATAACCCAGAATGCTGAAATTCGTACTTTGTCCAGTGGCTCATTGGACGTATTTCTACCATATGGAACTATACATACATGCATTAAGACATGATTCCTGAGACCCATACGTATATGTGCATAACAGGGCTCACGTCATAATGCGCATATAGTCTCGTTCGATAGAAATACGTCGAATTGGCCTCAGATCCATGCCCAGAGAGTCCGAGCCGAGAATTCTTTTGAGAAACTCTTTCGTTCTTCGTGAAATTCTCGGTAATCATTCAAAATACTTTTACAAATTTCTAGGAGGAAAAATAAACGAATTGTATACGTAACTAGGAGCCAACCCGCGCTTCGCGCGGCACTATTGCAGCAAATAAATTAGTAGGTATACCTCATATTAGATGCTTACAACTTTCAATTTACGAATCATATTTTATCTTTAAGTAATTAATTGTAAGTATTGATAATACTATGTAAATGAAGCATGCGTTAATTTTCCCGCAAAATATACTCTGCTAACGCTACACAATGGGAAATATTCTGTTACTACATTAACAAATTTTAGTTTCACGCAATTGAAATCGACCATTTTAATCGACCAACTCGAGGTCAACATTTTCAGTGACCACTTTGGCCATGTCGAAGCCGTTGTTGGGCTGAATTTTCAGACATGTCACACTTTTATAGTAGGTTCAGCTTTGGTTTTCCGAAATTTTGGGGCACCAAGCCCCTCGGAGGAAGTCAATGCCGAAAATAATTTATAACCACCTTACGTACGCAACTGCGTCCGGCACTCTGAGTCCTCGGACACGCTTCACACTTAAAAGCATACAAAAAGTACACGTATTATTCATGTCATAACGGAAGGCAGCGGTGCATGCAATACTCTACGTTCTTGCGCACGGTAAAATTTTAGACGCGCAAATTTTTTGATGAGAGGTATTGGTATCATATTACACATGATATCAGGAAGTGCAGCACTTTCACGGAATAATGCGGAAAAATTGCCGAGTCGCTGTAAATGACTGCGGGTTTTGCCCATTCACTAATTTTCCATGTGCCCTTCAGTGGCGTGGCGTGCTTTGCGATGCATCGATTGATCTGTCATTTAAACCTATGGAAAAGGATCGATTAACAGGGTGTTCGCAGCGAACACCTCAACAATCGATTCTTTACCACGGATTCAAATGGGGAAAAATCGATAATCGATCATTCTCGCCACGCCACTGGTGCCCTTCTTCCTCTCCTTCTTGTCAACGAAGAAAGTGCATTTTGATTTTGTAACTGGATTAGTTAGCTCGTTTGAATTAGCTTTGTCGAATTGTAAAAGAAGCTTCACTGAGAAAAAAATTCTCTGCGTTTTTACCACGGTCCGTTGGTACCTATACCATCTCACTTTTTTTAACAATTATTGGTAATTTTACAAAGACAGACTGGTAAGCTTACCTAAAAACCGGTATTTTTACTGTTTTTTTCCAGAATAGAATATCACTTTTATTGGTAATCAATTCCCAGTAACTTTGCCATTTTATATCGGGAATTCTACCACAGTCGATAAAAAATTTGGCGTTTTTACCGGGGTCCAGTAAAATTACCGAGAAAATTCAATAATTTTACCGAGATTTCTCGGTAAAATTACCAATTCCGTAAATGGTAAGTTTACCAAGAAAAAACTGGGATCGAATAGAACCCTGAATTCTTGGTAATTTTACCTATTTCTTAGTAAATACACCGAGATTTTTTTTCAGTGTTGATCCCAAAATCTTAGGCGCTACCGATATTTCCGATAGGACAGCAGTGTGAAGCAATGGCATCATTTTACCGCAACCTTGGTGGGGGGCTACGAATGATTTTTTTGCTCGGCATGACATTTAAGTGAAGTAAATAAGTAAATAGCATGGTAAGAGCTTATGACGTTCGTTAAAAATGTCGCTTGTTTCTCTCCCGTCATCCATTTCGATCTTTTTTTATCGAGGTCTCCTGAAACGTAGAGAGAGATGAAGTTGCCCCCTCCCGAATGACGCCACTGGTATAAAATTGATCAAATTTGACGCTGTGTGGTGCGGAAACAGTGCAACGGGACAAAAACTGCTGAAACCCGAGCGCTGCTAACTGCTGACAACTCTTGCGTCGCCTCTACGCCCCACAGTGGACCGAGTGAATGGGAGAGGTCGGACAAAAGTTGGAAACTTTAAAAGCGTATAACTCCGTTCATACATGACTTTGAGCTTTAAAAAGGGTTCCATTATTTTCCTTGTAAAATTTTCTTACAGAAACACCCCTTAATATTTAAACTGTGACAAAATAAACATGAAACCTCGCCGTTTTAGTCAAAAATTTCATGTCCGACCTCTCTAAGTGACTCGATCCACTGTGCACTCCCCCCCCCCCCCCCCCCCATTTACTCTCATGAAAGGAATCATATGTAGAAAATAGCCCACAAATGTTAAAAGAAGAATATCTTGGTATTCTTGGAATCGGCCTTTCGCAACTTCAGCTAGAGCAAACAGAAGAGTCGTACCTTGTATAAAATGGCTCAAAAATCACGATGAGCGCATTGAGATAGTCTGAAATAACTCCTAACTTCACAATCTGCGCGAGCAATATGCGCTTTTTTGAGCTTCCCGTTTCAAAATCGATACTATGGCACAAGTGGACTTTACGTAAGAGGAGTCGTTCCATCCAAGCCAACCCTTGTGCATGTGCACTGAGATGCTACCCTGATTCCTATTTCCTGTTTCCCGATTTGAGAAAAAAGTCGGGGTCCGTTGCCTTGCAAGGGGGGGGGGCTGAAAATTTTAGAGGGCCAAAAAGTAGCTCCTTTTGAACTAGGATCATACCTCGAGTTATAAATTTTTACCTCAATTAAGTAAAAAGTAAGAGGGAATGGAAGGGACTTTTGGATCTCCCTCTACATCCTTTTGTCCATTGCAACCACCCGCATCCATCAATAGGATCCCTCCATATAATTTTTGTTTTCTTGTCTATAGCTTTGTCTATCTATCTGAACAATCAGCCTGCAGGACTTTAGGAGGACTGGAGCTCCTTTAGAAATCATCTCATTTCCTTTTCAAAGAAGGAAAAAGTCTCATTTTTACCCTTATCGTGATTTGGATCGCATTTAACAAAAAGGAACCTGCGCGATTGCAGTGTTATAGAAATGTTGCCTCTTCATAATTATCTAAGAAATCTCCCAGAATAGCAACTAGTTTTTGCCTCTCGCCAAAAAATTGTTAATTTTGAAGGAAAATAATTGTGCACATTTAAACGCCGTACATATATTAAGTGTTTATAAAAGTAAAGAAGTTGCACGAATTTGAAAACTCTGTAATCGCACTGGTTCCTTTTTGCTAAATGTGATCAATTTGGGAGCCATTTCCATTTGCAACACCTAAAGTTTCATTAATTTTTTTTATTGATTAATTATTTTATTCAGTTTTAATTATTATTTTTCTCGATTAATTTTTTTTCCTCCGATATTTCATTACTTTAGTCGCCTGCTCAGCTCGTCCCAGAACCTTGTGCGAACCAACTGTGCCGGATGAACGGAGTTGTGACCTGCACTGCAACACCGTGCACGGCAAGATCGCGTGGCTGAACGTCCCGTGGACTTTCGGCAAGTGCGTGGGGAAAGTTTGCACTTGCATGTTCAACGAAAGGGATACCCGGTATTATATTGGCGCAGGCAATAATATATGCTTCTATTGGTATACGCTCGATCAGAAGAAACAGAATTTCGGCGCTTTTATTGAGGTAGGAATACGACTACTTTTACATCAAGAACAATCACAGAAACCACAATGAAAAACCTGACTTATTTGACGTCAGCAGGATTAATAGTAGAAACAAAGACTCACAAAAGCAGCCCAAAACGGGAGTAAGAGGATGAAAACAAAGAACAGCGGAGACACCGCTAAAAACACAGGTTTTTTTTAGCCTTGATTCCTCAGTTTTTTTTTTTTTTTTTTTTTTTTTTTTTTTTTNTTTTTTTTTTTTTTTTTTTTTTTTTTTCATCCTCGATAGTTAAATCGAGATCAGAATCCGCGACGATAATGCATCAGTTCCAGGTGCACGGAGAAAAAACTTCGTGCGTGGGACCCGAAGTTTAGGTCATATGGATCTCTGAAGTTTTCAGATTGAGCACCTGAACACTAAAGGTCCAGCTGCCGAAGTTCAGGTCAGACATCGGAAACTTCAGTTCTTACATCTGAAGTACTTCAGATGTGAGAACCGAAGTTTTTCGGATGTGAAAACCGAAGTACTTCAGATGTAAGAACTGAAGTTTCAGATGTCTGACCTGAACTTCGGCAGCTACACCCTAAGTGTTCAGGTGCTCAATCCGATGAAAACTTCAGAGATCCATAAGACCTAAACTTCGGGTCCAACGCACGAAGTTTCTTTCTCCGTGTGCGATGAAGTGACTCCTGACTTGGACACCCTGTATCGACGGTGAAACTCCAATGGTACATATCTCGGGTTGTGACGTCGCAGACTACCTGTCCTATTTTATGTTTTAAACGGAAAACTAATCATAAACCATCGGGAAAAAAAAAACCAATCAACGGCAATGGGTAGGTTGCACGCGAGATATAGCCAACTATAATTACGTTCTAAGAAAAAATTCGCTCAGCAATCACGTTGGGCACATCAAAAAAGTCTGAAAACTACTCCTTGACGCACCATGTGCGTAGTTCGTAACAACTTTTTTCGAGTTTCCAGCATTTGCGAGCAGTTTTTCTCAGGCACCGCCGACCAGGTTTGCACTGGCAGAGGAGTCACAAAAAACTAATCTAATAAAACTAATTCAAAATAAATCGGGCGCGTCATGCTTTCCAAACAATTTCGCTTCTGTCAATGCGGGAAATGAGAAGAGAAGACGAAAAATAAGGTTTAAATATTCTTCTGACCAGACCAAAATATTCTTTTTCCAAGAAACTACTCATCTGAGGAGCTTTCGCGGTCATACAGGACGCGCTTGTTGCATCATTTATTTTTGAAGGAGATTATTGCGTGGGGAAAATCTTAGGAGACGCTTTAAGAAAGTTTCCGCTGACTTCGGAGTCGTGCGGGTTGCATCAATAATTTTGGAAGGCGTTCCTGGTGCCTCTCATAGGCATGTCTATCGTGTATGGAATAAATGATAACTCGATTTTCTTCGCCTTCGTGGTAAAAATTTTAGCTCATTTTCAGAAGACGACGTGAATTTCAATAAAACTTGCTTGCCCCTGCAAGGAGTCATTTCATGTACTTTGGAGGCACATACAAGGAAAAAATGGTACGGTGTGCGTTTTGGTCCGATGAGGGGCTAGCAGCCTGTCTGTGACCTCCCGGAGATTTTGTTAAATAAATGTGTTAACGACTAAGAGTTCCGTTCTTTGATCCGCTTGGGGTACTCTACGACAGAAATGGAAGCTGTCGTAGTGTGATAATTTCTTCTTCCACTGAAGAGGGGAACAAAGAAGAGTTTTTGGAGGTTTTTGGCAAGAGGATGGTGACTTGCCCGGAGTCTCTTTTCCCAAGTTTTTGGGTTTCTTGGGGTTTTCTAAATAAACAAACAATCTCGCGAAGTGTAATGAACTCTACTCACTTAAAATTTCAGTTGATTCAAAGCTTCTGTATGCAAGAGAAGCTATCGAGAGCACGGCCGCACAAGGGAAACATCACGTTACAAAGCCGTCAGTTACCATTTTGAGTAAAAATGTCATACGCAAATTCGAATGTTGTTAAATTTCACTGTGAAAGAGATTGTGAATGTGATAGAGCGAGTGAGTTGTGCTTTTTCAGTTTTTTAAATAATTTAAGATACAATTACGAAATAAAACTCTAAAAGTTCGAAGAAAAATAAGTTCTAGTTTCCTACAAATGTATTTTATCGAATAATTTGGAACGTCCGAACACTCATACAGCGTTTCTGTTTAGAACGGCAGAAAAAGGTGTCTATTTTTACATTCCAAGTTTTTCGCCAAGATTGGATCGAATACAACGTCAGGGTTACCATGATTTTTGGGTAATATGTATACAGCCTTGACGCTTGATGTGTATTCAAAGTAATAAACCCACGAATTCATTAGTCGTATGTTTGCCTAGAATTTTGACAAATCTTCAGAATGGTGATTGAACCTCCTTTTCTGACCACTTTTTTTGTAAAAAGTGCATCATTTTCCTACCGCGCTAAGGATAAACGCCGTATAAACCTTCAGACATTGCCAGATTTCGATTGAGAAAGCACAAATTGACTGGTGAAATTATGCATACTTTTCTTCCAATTGTTTAGATAATGTTGTTTTCGATTTCACCTAAAGTGTTCACGCCGTGAACATGGCTCGGCCAGCATCGGCCTCGCCGTCGGCCGACTCCGCGCCGCGGTCGCTCCTTCCCCGCGACCCGCGCTCCCCCCTCCTCGCCGCCGCGCTCATCTTCTCGCGGCCGCGCTCCCCCGCAACCCGCGCGCCCACCTCGCGGCGTCGCGACGCCGCTGTCCGCTAGATCGCGTTGACGCACCCAGCTTTAGACGTTCCGCCGCTCTCGCCCGTCGTCTGATTTTGACGGCATCCCAGCGGCGCGGCCCATGCAAAGTGTGATCCACCATTCACTCCACAACCAAGCTTGAGCACCTTGGTAAGTGAATTTTCACCATTTCTCTTTCAGGTCTCCAAGAAGAAGCATCTAGTCCAGCGCCCAACGCTGTCGACTTCCCAGTCCAGCTTTTTACGCTGTCGACTCTCAGTCCGGCTTCTAACGCCGTCGACTTCCCAGTCCAGCTTCCTACGCTGTCGACTTCTCAGTCCGGCTCCTAACGCCGTCGACTTCTCAGTCCAGCTTCCAACGCTGTCGACTTCTCAGTCCAGCTCCCAACGCTGTTGACTTCTCAGTCCAGCCCCCAACGCTGTTGACTCCACAGTGGCTCCCGTGCCTGGCCGCTTACAGCGCTGCACGGAGCAACCCGCAATCGCCTCATCGCGATATCCGTCCGAGCGATTCGCTTAGGCAAGCCCTGGGGGTATCCCTTGGGGGTCTTCACCGCGCTTCAAGCGCACAAACCGAAGACGCCGCGCCCACTGTCGCGGATTGCCTGCCCATCAGGCGCCCACCGCCTGATCCAATCCACTCAAGCGCTCGGATGAGCTTTCATCACCGGCCTTACAACCCGGTGCTGCTCTCCGTCCTGCGCGCTTGAAATTACGTGCCTGCGCGCACATAAAGTTCCTAAAAATTCCTAGGAAAAATATTCATAGCTTTCCCCAAAACAAGGTTTCGCACCATTTCGCGGGGAAATCAAAGCCAAGAAGTTCCAAACATTATAATTGAGTCCAAATTAAATTTCGTTGAACTCTAATTCATAAATCTTATAATTTTTGGAACTTCTTGGCTTTGTTTTCCCCGCGAAATAGTGTGGACCCAGCACCATTTCTCCACCTTATTAAACACAGTTCGAGCCGCTTCTTAGTTATTATTTTTTTTTCATTTCCTCGAAACTAAGCATTTGACGGAAGGAAATTTTTGCAGCTCTCGAATGCTCATACGGCGTTCTTCCTTAGCACGGCAGTATTTTGCCCTCTTTTACTTTGGTTTCTCTTTGCCTGTGTGTTCAGGGGATGATTGCCATGTTATCTTTGGACAAACGATTTGACATGTACACAAGGAACTACAGGAAAAGATACAATAATAGTACGGAGAGAAAAAAACGGTTTGAGATCTTCAAAAAAAACCTGACCGAGATCCGTAGACTCATGGCAAACAGGAAAAACCCTAATTTAGTGTACGGAGTTAACCCATTCACGGACCTTTCCAGTAAGTATTCACGTCACGGAATGAGACTTAAAAACTTTGAAATCACTTGTTTTGGCGTAGCAACATGACCTAACATGATAAGCGCACGCCGCACGCCCTTAAATAGTATCGCATGCAACAGATTCGATGAATCTCATTATAAGGTCTGGATACAACTATTCGGGCTCCACGAATGCCCGTGTTGCATACGCTTGAAATGGAAGGCGTTTTGACTCTCCAGGTGCTTAACGCTTCACCCGCGGCTCAGCGCGACGGAAGGCAATATTCGTCGTCTCCCGGAATAAGGAACGTAACTCCATTACAGCGCTGCCAAATTGACTTAAATAATTAATTTATTTCATAAAAATGCACCTGGGTGAATTCAAATAAGCGTCTAATCTGGTGTCCCCAGCTGTTTTAATCGTCAAATTCTAAGAAACATAGGCAGATCAATTTTTTTTCTCCTTTTCCACGCTATTGTTGACTATTACATGCTACTTTCCATTCTATTTGGACTGAAATGAGAATTTAATTTAAGAGAATATTGAATGTGCAAATTGCGTACATTTGTCCCAAATTTGCGTGTCCCCCGTGCCTGCTTCTTGACTTTAAATCGATGTTGCAGCATAATTAGAGTGATTACTTGAGAAAACTTTATCGGAGATGATAGGTAATACTTTTGAATTTGAGAAAAAAAATATGTTAATTTCTTTTTTGCTCCATCAATAACTTTTTTACGCGCTAGAATCATTTTCCCCAGCAACAGTCAGCAAAAGTCAGGAAAGACATGGAAACGATGTGACAAGCTCTAAACGATTGCCGTAAAGTTGAGGTTTTTCCAAGAACGAGTTTTTTTCTTTCGATCGAATAATTCACACGTCGCAGATGTCAAAAATCCTGAAATTTGCAAATTTTTGTGCAAGATTAACGCCATTAATGATGCCAAACAAAATGCTATACACGATAACTAACAGCTGGCGTAACTCATACACACACACACACACACACACGCCCTAATATCAGCTCGTAAAATACTTCCGAAGTGTGCGTTGGGGAAAATTTTTTCTTATTCCGATACTCTAGGATGTGCTACTAAATATTCCGGGAAAAAATACACCAAAATTATCTTTACTGTTAGAGATAAGCTTAAAAAACAGCTTATTTCCATCCTGTCCCGTTCCATTCGGTCCCATATGTTTCCATCCTGTCCCAGTGTCCCAGTCTAGTGCGAGGCAGGGTGGAAAACTGTTACAACTGAGACTTGCTTGTTTAAGCCCTGTAGGCGCTCTTTTCTACCGACTTAAATGAAACTGGCTACCATTTTTGACTTGCAGGAGAGGAATTTACTAAATTATACATTGGAAAAGTCGGAGATTCAGCAAACCCTAAATCATCCACGAGAAAATCCAGTTTCTTCCGGAAGAAGACTTTGTCGAAGAAAGGTTCTCAGAGGACTCTTTCGAAGAAAGGTTCTCAGAGGACTCTTTCGAAGAAAGGTTCTCAGAAGACTCCTTCAAGGCAAGGTTCTTTTCGAGGATCGTCGTGCGAGACACCTCGTTATCCGAGCTTCCGGTCCGGCGGGAGGACGCCTTCCTCAGGAGGAACTCCGTCGATTGGACGGGGGGCGCGAACGCCGCCTCACCCTTTCATTGGCATGGAAGATCCGACCGGAGGCAATACCAGCGGGCTAATTTATCGCGAGCCTCAGGGAGTCGTCATGCACGATTGGCGGATGCCTCCATGGCTTTATCCTCCCGCGGAAAATCAGGTGTGCCAGACTTATTTCTGCTTCTTCTTCTTTTTCTTTTTCTTCTTCTAATCTTCTTCTTTTTATTATTATTATTCTTCTTCATTTACTTCTTATTTTTCTTTTTGTTCCTCTCTTTTTTCCCTTAACTCCTTATTTTTATTTTTCTTCTTCTTCCTCCTGCTCGTCTTCTTCTTCTTCTTCTTCCTCCTGCTCGTCTTCTTCTTCTTCTTCCTCATCATCATCATCTTCTACTTCTCCTTCTCCTTCGTCTTCGTCTTCTTCTTCTTCTTCTTCTTCTTCTTCTTCGTCTTATTCTTCTTCCTCTTCCTCCTCCTCATCTTCTACTTCTTCCTCCTCCTTATCTTCTTCTTCCTCATCTTATTCCTCATCTTCTTCTTTATCCTCATCATCAGATTCTGCTTTTGCGTCTTTTTCATCATCTTTCTCTTCTTCTTTTGCATCCTCTATTTCATCATCATCATCATCATCATCATCTTCTTCTTCTTCTTCTTCCTCTTCTTCTTCTTCTTCTTCTTTTTCGTCTGTGTCCTCTTTTTCTTCTTCCTCCTGTTCCTCCTCCTTCTCCTCCTCCTCGTCATCTGCTGCTTCTTCTTCCTCCTCCTCCTCTTCTTCTTCTTCCTCGTCGTCTTCTTCTTTTTCTTTCTCCTTGTCTTCTTCTTTTTCTCCTTCCTCCTCCTCTTCTTCTTCCTCATCTTCTTCTGCTTCTTCTTCCTCCTCATCATCTTCTTCCTCCTCGTCATCATCATCTTCTTCTTCTTCGTCTTCTTCTTATTCGTCATCTTCTTTTTCTTCGTCGTCGTCGTCTTCTTCTTCTTCATCATCTTCTTCATCCCCTTCAAAGTGGCAAGAATATCCGCAATACAAATTGTAGGCAGAGTGGCACCCTCTATTTTTATTACGAGACGTCTCTGATTGGCCAGTCCGCCTAGTGCCCACTTACTGAGGCCCTTCCGGAAAGTAACATTAGGTTCATTTTTCATCGGAAATATCTCAGAAACAATACCATTTATCATTGGATTTATCGACGGTGTAAGTCGGCAATCACATAACTCAGTTTGCGACGTCGCAGACTTCCTATCATACTTCATTTTTTAAACGGAAAACTACTCAACGGCAACTCTTTAAAACTGCCGTGATTTTTCTTCTCGGTGCGAAGAAAATTCTGCAAAAACTTTAAGGTATGATGTCAATTTGTTCTCTTTTAAAAAAAATAACATAGAGGCGGAGATCTTCAGACACCGCAAACGAGTTATGTGATTGCCGACTTACAACGTCGTTATACCTGCGTGTGTATGATCATACACACTCCGGCCTCCAAAATGTACTTATAACAATGTGGCTACACATTTCCCTCTACCTCTCTTGCCCCAGCCTTTAATGGCAGAATATACAATTTAATGAGCTTCATAAGCGAGTCAATGACGCGCCTTATCCACACTCTATGTAGTATGTATTTTTTTTTTCTCTTTTACTCTTTTCCATTTTTTTTTCACCTTCTGATTCATTTTCCCTTAGAACACATTTTACTTGACGTGTCATAGCTGCTGGGCTTTCGCGTCATTAGCTGCTGTTGAGATCCTCGTGGCTGAGGAAGTAGGAGGAGTGGTGATGCTCTCTAAACAAGGTGAGTACGCATTACCGCACTGGAGAGCACACTGAAAAAAAAAATCTCGGTGTATTTATACTAAAAAAAGGGTAAAATTACCAAGAATTCAGGGTTCTATTTGATCCCAGTTTTTTCTTGGTAAAATTACCATTTATGGAATTTTACCGAGAAATCTCGGTAAAATCATTGAACTTTCTCAGTAATTTTACTGGACCTTGGTAAAAACGCCAATATTTTTTATCGACTGTGATAGAATTACCGAGATGGAACGGCAAAGTTACCGGAAATTGATTACCAATAATAGTGGTATTCTTATCTGAAAAAAAAAACCAGTAAAAATACCGGTTTTTAAATAAGCTTATCAGTCTGTCTTGGTAAAATTACCAATAATTGGTAAAAAAGTGAGATGGTAAAGGTACCAACGGACCTTGGTAAAAACGCCGAGAATTTTTTTTCAGTGTATATTCCGCCAAGCTACTGAGACAAGGACGAGGAATGTCCCTCGTTTCATGATGTGCTTTTGCGCGACACAGATCATAGTTTTCCTTCATCTGGATGGGTAGGCAAAAATCGATCTCGACTGTTGAAATAGTTACAGTGTTGGATATTCCCGGCGCTTTGTGCTCATGCGAGACTTTAAAATTAAACATAAGTCACACTTTAATAAGACGTTAACCATGCGTTTTTACGCTTGGGGGGGGGGGAGTATCTACCCACACGAGTGATATCAAAAGGAGCTTGCTCATATTGTATCTCTTTTGATCTCTAATCTCGACCACGCAGAAGATGTGAGAGAGTAACAAAACTAATAAAGAATGAATAAATAGGGAAATGCATAATTACATGGGGATTATAGGAGGCAAACATTTTGACCACTAAGCGGCCTAGCCCCCCAAAGTAAACTGTTCACTCTGAAGGGTCGCTACATGTGACTTATTTTCAAATTATATAAAAAGGAAATTGACTCGTCTAGAGGTTTCCTGTCGATAGCTGTAAAAATCATATGAATCGGTTCGGTAGATTCCTTGAACGAAGTATGAAATAAAACTACTTCGATCAAATGGAATTTACAATGGAATCATGTAATTTTTAAGAAACTTAGGTTACATTCTAAAAATTTAATGAAGGTGGACTCATAGGAGATCATACTCTATCAATAACCGCAAAACTCGTAAAGATATATAGGCCATGAGGGTATTTAATATCATGCAAGAAATGATCATTTGAAGGGTTTTGCAAGCTAATTTTTATAAAAGTTGTTTTGCGGGTAATGTTTACCTCCCGATTCGACAAACAAACAAACAAACAACCAAATTGGCAAAATTTTCACTTTGAGCTGTATTTAAACTTTTCGTAATCTAATCGGACCGCATTAAGCAGAAGGGAACAAGAAAGGAATCAGCTATTGCCAAATTTAATAGAGAAATTTAATGTCTTACAAGAGAACGTTTGTGCGGATTCCTTTGAAAATTTTAACGAATTTGCTTCGTAGTGTGGGAAAAATTAACTGAAATTCGAACAAAAATTTGATACACAACCATTTTTTGTAAAAAAATAAATTTCCGAATTAAATTTGGCAATAGCTGATGTGGCTTAGTTCCGTTCTGCTTAACGCAGTTCAATTCGAGCGGGGTCTAATCCAGAGGAACTACAATATCTTCGTCGTGGCCTAGTTCCTTAGACCCAAGTCAACCTAGGCATGACTGCTGTCATTATTCGTCTTTTCCCAGACGAAGAAACGTAACTAGATTCCAGCGTTGCAAAATTCTAAATGGCAAATTATATTCTTACCAGGGAACAATTTGAAATTTCCATCTGCAGATTGCACCGATTAGTAGCTGGTTACACGCAAAAATCGGTGAAATGTTGCACAGGTTTTGCGTGGTCTTCTTCTTGTAAACAATTTAATTGCTTCAGTCAATCTTACAACCTTGGAATGGAGTTGCGTCCTTTCGTACGGAAAACGACGAATAGAGTTAACTATTTCCTTTTGATTAAAATACGACTATTTTCAAATGGCCCTCATAAAGCAGAAAAGAACCAAGCCACTTCAGCTATTACTAAATTTTACTGTTGGCAATTTAATTTTGTACACGGAAAAGGTTGTGCGGCTTTTTGTGTGTATTTCACTGAATTTTCTGCATAGCACAAAGCAAATTTTTTAAAATATTCTAAGAAATCCGCTCAAACGGTTTCTTGTAAAAAATTAAAGTGCCCCGTTGAATTTGGCATCAGCTAATGTCACTTGGTTCCTGTCACGAATGACGGATTTGTTAAGTCTTAGACGGACTGAAACATCTAAAAATCCTTAATTCGCGCACTATAATGAACGGAATTTGTGGGAAAGCAAGAATTAAATAAGATAGTTGATGGGCCGAAAAAGAGTTTTATTGATTTAGAATAAAATTACAAGAGAAGACACTCTTTAGATAGAATTCGCTAATAGAGCAGCAAGGCGTATTATGTGTACACATGGGTCAGAGATGGAAATGGGCCATGAGAAACGGGCAGCACAAGCTTGTATAGACTTGATGACGTCACAGGTGGTGAGACAGCAAGTCTATACGCTATTGGCTGGCTATAATCAGTGGAGCTATCAGTTGCAAGTTCAGTAATTAAACTAATGGGTAATTATAGGTGATGGCTGGGTGATAGGAGTAAAAAAGAGAAAAGTGGACAAAAGCCAGCCATCCCTAATAGCTATGTTTATGCGAGCCTCTTAACCTAACTTCAATCGAAACCTGAGTTTGAAACCAAGGTTCAAATCACGGCATAAACGATACGGAACTAACGAAATGTAGGTTTCCGAAATTTGTGTTTGAAACCTTATTTTACGAGGTCTGTTAGATTAGAAACCGGATTTTGGTCATAACTAGCCCACAATGCGTCCGAATTGCGTTTTCTTGAGCTTTTCTGATAGCTGAAAATATATATAAGAACGCTACGATCACAAATTTGAAAAATCCTAATTAGCTTCGTTGGTATGTGGCTTGAAGTAAGGCAACCTCAATGGTGTTTTGCGATTTTTATGTTTGACCGAACTTGTCTCTCTTTTTTCGGTCTTGCACTACATTTTTCAACCCACAAAGACGATTGGATTTTCGTCTCCATATCGTAGCCGTACACTAAAGTATTGTCACCGAAAATTATCCTATCCAAAAATGTAGGACCATTGTTAGAACGTTCAAGCAGCTACAGGGAAATTGACATTTGGTTGGCTTTTCGTTCAACGGACAACAATCAAGGGGCAAGTGTACCTGAAACTCGATGCGTGTCTACATATTCTATCAAAATTGTATGTACAGAGCCTTCAGAAATATTATTTTGTTCAACAAGCTCGAAATGACCATTTTCGAGCACTTTTGCCCGCACATCTTCCACGTGACAAATGTCAGTTGCCGTTGAGGGTCGATTCCCATGCTCCTCATCTTTGACGAACTCCTGACCAGTTTTGAATCGTTTAATCCATTCAAAACAGTGGGAACATCTCATAAAATGATCATGGTAAACTTTACTTAGCATATACCAAAAGTTTCGGTACAAGGTATACCGAGTTTAAAACAAAATTTAATGTTGAATCTTTGCTCTATCAGTGATCGCATGATGAAAATCGCAAAACGCACCTGACTTACTCGTATTCAAGATGACACAGAATAAACACTGATCAAAATAAATAAAATCTGCGAACGTAACGTTCTTAAATATATTTCCAGCTATTAGGAAAGCTCAAGAAAACCTAATTCGGACGCATTGTGGGCTAGTTATGACCAAAATCCGGTTTCTAATCTAACAGACCTCGTAGATAAATTTACCAGTAGTGGATTTTTATGTTACTTTTTTTACATTCATTTTAAGCCGCTTTCATAGCGCTCTCTAGCGCTCTGCGACATCTAGCCTATTACTTTTTTTTTGGTATCTAAAAATTGAAGCAAAAAAATTGAAGAACATGTGTGTGATTTAGGAGTAAGGAGTTCAGAGTATAAAAATTACACTAAATTCAATGCACCGTTCAAAATTTAAACTTGTGTGAGGGAAATTATGTTTGAACGGTCAAATTATTGTTTTTTACGACTGTATTTTTAAAATAATCAACGCCTCGAGATTTTCAAAAAAATTATTTACTCATTCACTTACACTAGGGGCCTCAAGAATACTTTTAAATTCGTGTTTTAGTATTTTTACATACATTTTAAATTTTATACCAATTCCTCCATTTTTTTTAAAAAAGTTGGAAAATCGAAATTCGCTGAAGGCATCGAGTTTCTCTCCCCATTATTTTCTTTTTGCTTTTAATAGCAGATAGGTATGGTATAAATTTTTTTCCTGAATCGTGAAAAGTTCGCTTTTGCTTTTGGTAATTTATTGTGTGGGGAAGAGACTTACAAGGCCTCGGGGGAGTGCTAGGCGCCTTACTGTGGGATTTTCTAACTAAGCTCATGCAAGGAGTCTAGCCTTGCGTGACGTCACGCAAAACTTATTGTTAGTGTGAAGGGCGATTTTGAGACCTGCGTAAGAGGTGCATGTCGAGGATGACACTGTTTGATGTAAATGTAAATGTCCGTTTAAGTCACATTTTAAGTTTTATACTTTTTAAGGCCCTGTAAAGGTACAAATTCAAATTTTGGAAGTCTAATATTCTTCTGGAAAAAGAAGAAAAAAATCAAGGTATTTGCTTTTTCCACGTGAGAACCATGACAATTTATTCTCAGCAGAGGCCCACTTTTAGGTATACACTCTCTTCATTTTTTTATCATTTACTTTGAGGAGAAAGGAGAGAGGGAGAGTAGGAAGAAAGAGATACTAAATTATACTTTATTTAAAGTTGTATAAATATCATATCGATGGCTGAAGTGGGGAGGGGGATACGTAATTCCAATTGCCACATTACACGTTCACTCTAAAGTTTCGACTCATATACGTTCCACCTTCTTGGAAGAAAACTTACTGAAAAATTTCCTTGACATTTTGCGTGAATTTTCTTCCGTTACCTACTCAAAATTTTCAAAGAGAATTTCAAGGAGGTAGAGAAATTAGTTTTATTTTAAAAAATTGCTAAAGGATTTGAGAGTTTTTATAACGTTGCAATATAAATCGCATTTTTCATCTTTAGCCACCGATACACAAAATAAAAGATTTCGAACAGGAATCTCTGTATTCAGCTAGTGAAAGTACCCTATAAAATTTCTTGCGGTGCTGACGTAAAATCGATAGATTTTGCATATTCGAATCGTATCGCTCGAGTACCTCATACTTGATGAAATATTTTAACGTGACCCAAGTGCCACTACACAGAACAGGAATAAACTCTTAAAGAAAGACGGGGCGCGGGGGAGGGTAGTAGATAACCAGAAAAAGATTAGGAATACTAAAAATTTACATTCAAGTTTCGAGCGCTTATTTATCATTATGTGAATCTTTGTACGCGTGAAATAATACGAGATCAGCATTAGGTACAGCTCAAATTCCCACCTGAGATTTGGGATTTTATTTTTCTACTCTATCTATGTGTAACGAGTAATTCCATGAGAGACACGAACATTGTACCGACAAAGACAAGAATGATGCTCAGGCCCTCAGAAAGCTTCTAAAACGATCGCATCGGCGTCGTTTCGTATGCGCATGATGTGCAAACTCCATTTACTTATTTGATTATAAGATTTATTCTTCCAAAGTTACTTTTGTGAATTAATGAAGAACCTTAGTGGTTTTAGAAAGTACTGGAACTTAATTTGATGCTTGTTTCCACTTAAAAACTACTTTTTGCAGGCTTGCTACCTCTATTGAATACCTTCCTTAATAATTGTACAATTAATGGAAGCATTTATTACATAGGTTTTATTTTAGCCGATCAACTTAATCAACTTTACGAAGGTGCATGAAGTATCATGTAGAAATGAAAGCGTGTCAGATCGGAATTGCATCAGGTTAGCGTGGAGTATCATGCAAAAATGCAGGCGCGTACTGCTGAGAAGGTTCGGCTGATAATTTGAGACTAAATTCGCCCGTCTAGTCGGGTTCCAAAAGCTACTGCAAACCTGTGTCGGTGCAATTTCTTTGCAGAACAGTGGAATAATTTTGAGATCACGGTCATCACTTTTTATCTGGGTTTTTTTTTTTTTTTTTTTTTTTAATTATTTTCTCACATCCCAGTTGCCATAGAAATGCTGGAAATATGAATTAGAGGTGCTAATAGCATATTTGGAGTATTGAAGGCGTAATGCAAATTCAACACATCGAGTGTTCCAAGTCCAAGTTTTATCGAAGCGTATCTTTCATAAAAGTGACTCCTTATCAAGACATTGCTGTCCCTCACAATAAACCCAAATCAAACTCCTCGAATTGAATAGCAATAGTTCAGACGAACCATAATCAAGTGCCAGCTTGAATTTTTCTCCTTGCTTGAACTGTGGAGATAATTTTATCTGAATGGGGCTGTTGCGCAATTTTTTGTTAAATTCGTTTTCGGAAAGTACGTAAAAAAATGAATAAGCCCGCACTTTTCAATTTTTCATTTTTATCAAATTTTATCAGATAAATTACTTTCAAAATCGCCAAAAATACAACCTCAGGGACCTTCATAAATTACGTAACGCTCTGGGGGCAGGAAGGGATATTGCCATGCGTTACGCTGCATTACAAGGGGGTGGGGGGGTGGATCGGCGTCAGCGTTACGTAACCCCCCCCCCCAGTGGTAAGAAAAAACACTCACAACTTAAGAGAGTTTGGCATATCTTCGTAAAAGTGCATGTCATTTATATTCGACACTATTGGTCACATTATGATTAATAATAATTCAAATGTTATCCAGCTATGTATTCAACATTTTGCCACAATTTTTGGGATCTTGTGGGAGGAATACGTCAACCAGTGCGTAATTATTAAAGGGCGTCCCTTGCGAAGCGTTACAAGGGGGCATAGGGAGTCTAAAATGCAGAAGAGGTGCGTTACGTACTTCAAGAACGCTCCCCTATTTCAAACTGAAAAATATCGCGCCAACGGATTTCGTGATGTCACAAGAGGAATGGACTGCGTAACACCCCCTGAGCCCAAAAAACTTTGTCCTGAAAAAGTAGCGTCACGGGCGTACCTACCGGAAATACTCGACATTTCCGGTTGCATCAGCTGATCGCCGAAAACACTCTGATTACGCGCGAAACTATACAGCGTCAAGTAAATATTCACCGGAAATCTTCAGCATTTCCGGTCACATCAGCTGATTGCTGTCCCACGGCTGTCGAAACCATACCCCAGTGTTATTCACCAATAATTCAGCATATTGATCACGGCAATGAAGCACGCACGCTGTGAAAAACTGTAAACCAAGGAAAATATGATTAATTTTGGTTCAGGTACATCGCAGCTGTGTATACAAACTCAGAATGTCCGAAGGAGAAATAGTTTTAAGTTTTGAAATATTTATTCACCGGGTAATATGGAGGAAAATTCTTGGATTTGTCAAAAAGTATTACAGAAATTTACCACCAATGATATACCGTAAAGAACTGAAATATCTATGATACATAAAGGTAGTCAGTTTTGACGAAAAGATTTTATCCGTATGTTTTCATTTGTTAAATAAGACCTAATAATATTTAAGATGCCGCTTTCATAGACAGTCCTAAAAACTGCTTAAGTAGCCCATGCTTCTTGGAGCAATCAAAGCTTCAGTTAGTGCCGCATGCGACGCATACTGAACGAATTCGATTGGATGCAACTATTCGGGCTCTACGGATGGCCGTGTTCCATACACACGGAGATGAAGGCGTTTTGACCGTTCAGACACTCACCGCTTCACCCACGGCGCAGTTCTATCGGCGGATTTTACTGCTCGAGGATCCAAAATCGCAGAGCTCTCTCAATTCTTCGTTTCTATTACCAAGATATCTCCTAGGCACGAATATTTTTACACAGGCGTAAGTCGGTTTGTTGGGTATCTTTTCAGCTCCAGTTTTGATACCGCGATGTGCTGAGCAGTTTTATACTGCAACTATTTATGTCTTATTGTAAAATGTTTCCGAATTTAAAATGAAGAATTGAAATTACTCCACTCTGTGATCTTAGGTCATCGCTGTGAAACCGGCCGCACTATGAAACGAGCCTTTCAAAGAGGTCGGACACAAAATTTTTGACTAAAAATGCAATTTTTTTTTGTTTGTTAATTTTTCACATTATAAATTGTATGGGGTTGCTTCAAAGGACATTTTAGGAGAGAATCGATGAAACCACTTTTAAAACCTCCAAGTTCCGTATTAACATCAATTATACCTAAGAGCTTTCGATGTTTCCACATTATGTATGACTCCTCTCATTTACCTCTGTCCGGTCTTCATTGGTGCGTTCTTGCTATCTCTATTTTGAAAAATTATTAAGTACCTACATTTCAAGAAATATTGAATAGGTGAAATATTAATAATTTATCATTTGGTAGATAACGAATGGTGAGCGAAACATAGCGCGACTCATTTGTCGGGGGCAGAAAGTGCTGATTTGGCAACAGAAGCCGAGCCCCTTGCCCCCCACACCGACTTGTCTGGCGTCTGAGCGGCATGTAAACCCTCCTGCCGCCAATCAGATTTCTTTCAGTTTGCCTCGCGCTTTCCTGCAGGAAGGACTCTCGCTGCGCGTCGCTCCTAAACCAAAACAAAGTTCCTCATCTTATCACCATGTGCTTATAGATTCATTTCATGCGTGTATCAGTGCTTTCTTCTATAGAAAATCGTGCTGAGTTGAATTATTGAGGTGATATATTAAGTGTGTGATATGGTCTTTGCCGATGGTCGGTATTTTCGTCGCTAACTGCCGCCAAGATTTCTCAGTGCCTAGTGCGTAGCGTGTTTTTCATGTGTCGGTCAGTGTTCCATACCTCTGGGCAACTTCTGACGATTGGAGTTTCGGGTGTGAGATTGTCTTGTGTGCCGTAATGCCCCACATCCGGTTCTGTGCCCTGTTTTCACACTCTCTCGCGTCTGGTTTTATGTGAGTGAGGGACAAATTCTACTGTTTCAAAGTGGTCGTTGCGTTGTGAATATCCTGCCCGAAAATGTCGCCGGATGGCCCCCAACCTGTTCTCCCGAACAAACCTTTGCAAGCTGAAAAGTGAGTAATCATCAATATCATTACTCACATCAAATTTGAGGGAGTCTTTACTTGAGATATGTATGGTGCCCCAATACACTTGCGCAAAAGTACGCCGCTGCGTGTATCAGTTTAACAAACGCTTTAATTTAGGCACCCTCTTTCTGTGTCTTTTTATGAATACATGGTGCCGTGCTCCCATTCAAAGCCATCGGCTCTTTGGGTTTTGGGTTGTCTACATCACTTGCTCTCACGGTCACAAAAATCTACCTTGGGTCACAGTATGAGTAGTCGGTGTTTTGGGGTGGGGGTCCGGGGTAGGGTGGAGAGTTTTTGTTATTGTTTACAACCTCAAGCTGCCAGCTGTTGTCATGTGGTTTTGTTTTGCTTCTCATTCCAAGCCTCAAGTTAAGAATCTTCTTGTGCAGCTTTCGGTTAAAATCCATTCTAAGAGATCTGTTCCTCAGCTGGATTTTGTTTATGTGAAATAAAAAAATCGTATAAATTTCATATTTTTGGGGGAAACTATATCCAGTGTGTCAAAGCCAAAGTTAGAGAGCCGATTCATATTGCAATGTTAGGAAGTTTTACTTCGCCTTTTACTCATTTATTCGTTCATTTTTATATGCATACCCAATGTGTTTCAATCAAATTTCCGAGTTTTTATCAAACCACCGACAAAAAAGGGGAAAAAGTCATGTCAAATGATAATCGCGTTTGGCCTTTGTGAGTATGTAAATAGAATAGGTATACCTAAAGTAAGATTTCATTGTGTTGCATTGCAATTTATTTTTAAGTACCTCTGGCTCTGACTCTGTCCATAATTGAACACTGAAGTAAGAATCTTAGTCCTTTTTTCATATTCATTAGGAATTTTGTGTGAATATTAATCATCTCACAGGACCATCGTTGAAATCAATCATTTACTTTCAACATAGCTGCAAATACGTCTCATCTGGAAGACGTGGAGAAATGTACATTAATGGATTTTTTCTTTTCTTTCTAATAATTTCAAAGCTTATCAACGTCTTAAGTAGAGGATATTTTCTATATTAGGTACTCAGGTATAAAATATATAACTACACAAAACTCAACAAAGTAAAAAATCTCATGGTCTCCCGAAAAATATCAATAGGACCACGACAATCATACAGGGATAGTATGTGAGGAGCTCCCTCCATGGCTCGAGGCCCAAAGTGAATTGTGAAGTATCAGGTGTCACAAAAAAATCTTTTGTTGGCGCGATGGGTAAGGACGCGAAAAAGTAATCTCGGCTGCTCAGTTCCGCAGACCCGCGGAAGTTTGGTTGCGAAACAGGGACAAAGACCCTTACATCCCCTCGCGAAATCGATTAAGACCACGCCGCAGCCTCAGCTCTGGGAGCTCCGGGACAACGAACTCTGCAACCCTCTCGACGTCCTTGACTTACCCACCCGCACCTCCCATGTATCCCATGCTAGTCGGCCACCCGCCACACGTTTCTCACCAATGCTACCTCCTCTACCCTCCCGTTTGAAGTAGAACTAGGGAAAGAAAAGAAGAGACAAATGGCACATCCAAAAATTGCACACCATTCAACAGATATTTTCATGCTAACCAATGAGCCAACTGATAATTGGACTGCATTTTGCAATTTGGAGCTATAAATTCTGGCACATCTGAAAAAACACGTATGTGCCTAGGGAAACTAATGGCACATACGTTGTTTTTTAACCGGGCTGGAATTTATAGTTCCGAATTGCAAAATGCAGTCCAATTGATGCATCCAGACTGATGTGACTTTTGTCTCTTCTTTTCTTTCCCCAGTTCTATCAAAGTCCATGCTTGTCTTTCTCAAGCAGCCCTAACAATTCAAGTCAGTTAATACTTGAAAGGAATTTAGTCTGGCCCCTGTAGCCATACTTAAGTCATGTCTCGGAACACTAAAATATTCGGCTCTTGGCATAGTGACCATTTCCTCACTCTCTCTCGAAGTCTCGTGTCACCATGAACATCCGTCAACTCGCGAAAAATTAAAAAAAAAAAAAAATGATGAGCGGGAAAACCTATCATCATTTAAAAAAAACTAAGTACATTTTGGGATGTTTGATTGCGTGTTTAGCGTGCGCTTTTGCTGGTATATGTTACCGATCACCGATGTTCATCACGCAATCGAGTGTTTTCAGAGTTGGGGAATGTCGTCAAATTCCAAAAGGTATCTGCCTCGGAAAAATTAGTGGAAAATTTCGCATGGACCCTCGGAGGACTTTTTATGCAATGATGGCGTTTTACTATGCGTTGCTGGTAAAATTGTGTCCAACTTCAGTTTGGATCAGTTTTCCAAAGAATATTCTACTTTTTTTTTTTTTTTCCGCGAAATTTTTTAGTTTTTGCAATTCTGCATAGCAGAAGACCTATAGTTGCATTATTTTAATTAGTCTTTGATTATTTATGAAAATTGGGGAGGCTCTAATTTTATAGGAGCAAATATAACAAGGTGTAAAGAAGTGATCCCTTTTGTAGGGGCAACAAATTGCTCCGCAGTGTTCGATAGCTCTTATCAAAACCGAGTGAAAAATACTAATGTTTTCACGATATCAGTATGCGCTTTGAATTTTTAAGTCGAAAACTATCGGTCCTTTTGAGCTGATCAGTTATTTACGAAAGTCACGGATCAAAGCTACGAATTTAAAGTGTACACTTTTGGAAATTATCTCAAACGATTCCATCAGCATTTTCATTTTTCCAAGCATAGCAGTCGAGAGACAGTTTTCATTGACTTAAATACTTACTTATTTTTTTCCTTTGATTTTGATTTTCTATGTAAATAAAATCACCATGGTACTTCCTACCGGGGTTTTCTTCCCTTTTTACCTTTTCAAGGGCTTCTCTTTTTCAAAGGCAGGATAGTTGATTGCAAGTGGGATTAAAATCTGCATTACGTGGTGCAGTGCGGTGTAAAAAAATATCGACCGACGCACAATGGATCGTGTCAATAAGAGAGGTCGGACAAAATATGGAAACTTTAAACACTTATTACTCCGTTTATACAAAATGTATAGGTTCTAAAGATGATTCCATTGGTTTCCTTGTGAAATTTTCCTACAAAAGCACCCCTTTAAGTTAAAAATTTGATGAAATAAACATCAGAATTTGCTAATTCAGTCGCAAATTTCATGTCCGACCTCTCTAATTGACTCGATCCACTGTGCGGCGATAAATTTGCGTAATCGTAATTAAGTTCGGAGCCGGCTTACGATTTAAATTAGGTCAAAAATAACCTTGACCACACTCATTGATCGGTGTCGCGTTGAGTTGGGCCCGCGCAGTCATCGGAAAATGGCACATAAACAACCAGCGGCAACGGATAGAAATTTTAAGTGCAAACCTCGTTCCAAATGCAATAATATAACCGGAAATGACCTGCGGTTTTAATATTGAACCTATTGCATGGTGCTCAAGGTACGAATCAGAAAATTGGTGTATCGAGCACTACATCCTTGAAAAATTTTCAGACTTCACACGCAGGCACGGGAGAAAATTCGTTGGTATTGAAAAAAATAAAGAAAAGCGTCCATTGTAAAAACCTAAAATGAAAAGAAACTTCGAAACGTGAAAAGTAGTGAGCCTCATTCCTAGCAAAGCTGTCCAGTTTGTAACTTACCGTAACGTTCAGTTTCCTTGCAAAAGTAATTTGTCGCAATCTGGCAAGAATTGGATTTGCTGGAAGTCACCATATTTGGCACGGGGCTAAAATATACGGTCCGTAAACGAAGAGAATAGAACTTATTAAAAGAAAAAACTACACGATTTGTCTCCGTATACAAACCTAATCCACTTAGTTTCATTATCATAATTTATGGGTGACAATTTTTTCTTCGTCTGTCGTTTTTCAGTACACCCCTCTCCTTTTTTTGTCGCACTGGACTTATCTTTGTAACTACTCTCAGTCAACTGCAATTTGTGTGTTTATGTACAGTTACCTAATTGCCTTGTTTTCGCAATAATTTATAATTCTGTGCTCTTTCAATACTGTTTTGATTCTGAGCTCTCTCCCTTGCCTCCCACCCCTCTCTCCCAGGCATTTTTATTCGTTCGGATATGCCATGATAGAGAGTGATTGGTTTTGTGATATGGCCTTCTCCTAATGACCTAAAAATCAAAACCTTGTCAAAGAATTCGCCTGAAATTAATGAGGACAAAGTTTTGCGGATTTCATACCCTCTTCCAATTCTTTTTTCCTCCACTATGGATTCCTTCCTTTCATCTTGCAATATTTTATTTTATCTGTCATTCTTTTTGCCTTTGATTCCTCGTATGAATAAAGGGAAATGTCTTAAGACTCAGCTATCATCGTAGGCATGTTTCATGGTTTCTTTTCCATAACTTTATGATGGTGGAACTGAGAAGTTTTAATTACTAAAACTTCCTCTGTGAACGCCCTCGCAACAAACTTGTGCTCCGCTTTTGATGGGAAGCTACATCAGTTCACCCATGTCAAAAGTCATCGATTATTTTCCCCATGGTTAATATATTGATAATAACTGTATTAATAAGTAAGAAAATGAATAATTGCATTGAACCTAATCGGAGATAACAGTTATCTACCGCGAATGTTCTCAACTTTAAGTTTTTACTTATGAACATTTGTGCAGTTATTCATGTCAAGCAGAGGTTGACGGCATTGTTTACAATATTCCTCGTGGAAAATTTTACCCATATAGCCTAAGTGATTCAGAAAACTACTAAAAGTGAATTTACTGTCTTCATTTGAAGTAAGTCGTTTTTGTTTATCCAGGAACGGTTTATTTTTGCAATTCGAGAGAGGGGTGGTGAGGTGATTTCTGGCAATGATAAGAGGTAGTTCTTGCTTTGAATGGAAATCACCATTTAGAGAAAAAAAGTGGTTTCGATTTCGGACATCTTTGAAAAAGGTCGATGACGTAAGTAAATGAGCACAGACATTTTGTCATCCATATTTTGAGAGAGATGTGCACTGGAAAAAAACCACATTGGATCTAGAGTCCAGACTCTTAAAAACA